TAAGATTCTGTGCCTTTTTTAGTACATACAGCGGTATGTAAAGGTGTAGTAACAGTTTTAAATTTGCAGTTTGTCAATGAAAAATTTAGAGTAGCAAATAAAATGCACTATCTAAAACTTAGGAGATATTCTTACTGATGTCATTCTGATGTTATATAAACTATAGAAAATGTTAAGTTATTCGTATACTATAGAGAAGCAAAAAAATGGTGTTATTCCATCTTGATGCCTTCGAAAAATGTATCGGCATTCTAATGCCTTAAGAAAACAACAAATTTCGAAGCTTCTAATATTACACATAACCAGTCTAAAATTTGTCAGGTTAGATCTAAGTTACATAAATTTATTGTATTACCATGCTTTCACATTTATCGTTTTGCTTACTTGCAGAGTTTTTAGTAACCATTTGTAGAACAAATTTTAAGTGTATTTTAGAAATAAATTAATAAGAATAGCATTGTATAAAACATTAGCTACAGTTTTGATAATAAATCAATCAAACTGCTACTCAACAGTCACAAAAAAAAATTTCTTTTTATTTACATAAAAAGCAATTTATCTGCATTTCCATGTAACTGCCAATTACTTCTTGCTTTTTTGATTCTTTTTTTATCAGAACTGTTTAAATGACAGTTTTAAAATTAAATAGACAATTTTTTCTTCAGTTTTTATCTGACAAATGCTATGATATTTTATTGATGATTATGGTTTTTTTAGTATTTAAAACAGCTTCAAAAAATTATATCATAACAAAGACCAAAAAATACAGTTTTAGACATCAAATCGACTGCAGTTTAGAGGTTGTAATTTTACTTTTTTTATTTACGGTTGATTAAAAGCGCCTCTTCTGCCAAAAGCAGTTATTTCTGAGCATTCCAAACTTCAAAATGACATTTGCACTTATTGTTTACTGTTGCGAGATGCACAGATTTAGTCTCACAGTTTACAAATAACAATAATATTTTAAGTGGTATCTGAAAAATGACCTGTAAAAGATTTAATATCAACGGTACTCTGCTGCATTTGAAGTTATACGTTACGTATCTAATAAGAACTGTAGACTGTAGAAGAAAAAACTTTAACAAATAAAGCTCTATAACTAGTTTTAGGATAAAACTGTCTTATCAAAGTAAGAAGTCATTTTTTTTGCAATTTGTCAAGCCATTAATTCTCTTTTTTTTTTTTTTTTGTTGTTAGTTTTGTGTTAACTTTTTAACTACATTGGTAAATGTTTCACCCACTGAGTTTTGTAATTATAAGGCTTCTTCTTTTGTAATTTACAACTTTGATAGGTACCTATTTACTGATGTCGGTTAATGTGATTTTGAAAATCTAACAGTGATTTGTTTCGAAAAATTTTCTAGAACAAAGAATACTGGTTTCGTACAATAATGCGGAGTTTGATTCAAGAATAGTTGAAGCTGAAAAGGATGTGAGCAAAATAAATGACTACATTTATTACGTAATTTACCAAAAATCGTTTGCAGCATTTCTTTGTTTTCAGCGTCATCATGACCTTTTTTTTTGTAATGTCTTGAAGCAGCCTGCTTCACATGCAGTATTTTTAGCTTAAGTAGTTTAAAAGTGCGTAATTTTCTGACATCTTTTTACAGCAGTATGCTAAAAAAAAATATCTAAACTTTACTGAAGAACCATGTTTGTAAAGATCGACTATAGTTTTGTCAAAAATTAAAAAACGATTTTTGAACGACATTAATTTCTGATATGTAGTGCCATCTAATAAACGTAATAAGCTTAAAAGTTGAATTAAAATTATGAAACATAAACTGATCGAAGCAAATACTTTTTTATTCAATTTAATAAAAACCAATGATAATTGTGGACGAAGATGGTTTTACAGCAGAATTTCCGACCTTCCGCTCAAAATTTAGATTTTTTACGGGCAACATTTTCTGGTAGACTAGACGACTCTTATTACAACATTTCAAGTTCTAACAGATTTTTTGTAGAAGCTAAGGTACGTCGTAAACTTAGTGCAAAAATTTATTATGACCGTAAATTTACAAAATTTCAAGACCTATCAATCATTTTGAAGCATTTGATTATTTTACTACTAATCATATAGTGACAATTCTACTCTTCCGCCGCTAATTAAGCTTTTGTAGGCTAAGCGAAGAAGAAGGCAGCCTGAAGAAATACAATTGGTTGTGGGTGCCCTAAAGTTGTAGCCGCCAAAGCTGGTTTTTCAACAAGTTTAATAAAAAAATATTCTGAAAATTAGAGTTTGACAGTTAGACTGTATTATTCAAACGATGTTGGTTCATTGATTATGTCACTGATCAACTTTGCCATTTCACTTTCTATAAAAAAAAGTTTAACCTTAAGCGATAACTTTATTTTTGTGATAAAGGTTAAAATAAATGATGCTGAATGACAGTCGTTAATTTGCAAAAACGTTTAAGCCTAGACTAGGTAGCTAAGAGAAGATGTTTGAACAGCAAAATGAAACCAGTTTCTAAACCGAAGAGGAAAAAGTTTCTGTCTTTGACTAGAACACAAAGCATACGACGCTTATAAGTGTCTTTTGACAGAGCCGTTTAACAAGTACCAACTTAATATTTTGGAAATTAGAGCTTTATAGGTTTGAAATAAATATACTCTGAAAATTAGAGCTTGATAGGCTAGTCTGTATTTCAAAAAAAAAATGCTAGTTTAGTGGTCATGTCATAAATCAACTTTACCTGTTTGAAAATGTAATAGAAGTATAATAATTGTCACTCAAACGATTTTTGACTACCAGCTAAATTAGATAATTAGTCAGGTTTGATGTTGCCGAAGTCTTATTTTCAGACTTATATAGCGCCCCTGTTTTTAATGTCGCAATAAAACCTATAAAATTCCCATTACTAGGATTATCACTCGTATTTTACTATGAGATACGGAAATTAGCCATAACTCTTCAAGTAATTTTATTTGCATGTAGTATACATTTTAAACTGGTTTCTGTATCTACGCAATTATTTGTACACTTACCGTAAACAGTAAGAATCTCACAAAGATTTCGAAAATGTAAGAGAAGTTTACCGGTTGTCACTTAAACGATATTTGACTCACTCCAAAATCATTTTCACAAAAAAAAGCACTAATACGCATAGACAGCCCTCCTAAATTGAAAAATGTTTGAACTCACAGTGGAAAGTTTTGATAGCATAGACGAAATAGTTGCTATTTTGGTTATTTTAACTTTTTTGATGAATATTTTTTTATAATGTATGCAAATATCTATTATGATCTATACAGCAACGGTGCACAACTGACGTATCTCAAAAATAGTTTATTTCTGCCTACAAGTAATTTGTACTTCTATTCAACTATGTCGAAGAACAAATATAGGATTATTAAGAGTGTTATTAAAACCGTCTGTCTCCAAGATTCAAATATGCGTAGTAACTCTCCAACTACTTTACTGAAGTCTAGTTTTTACGTAAAAGTAACATTATAACTTTGTAAACGAAGCTCTAGCTACAGTCACATAATTGAAATTGCCAAATAAAGTGTCAAAAAGCAACGTCCTTTGCAAATTAGCAATTATTTAAACTACGTGGATAACCTCTTAGCAGCAGACCAGCGCTAATCAACCTTTTAAATGATGCTTTTTATCTTCCTGTTTTTATAAATGACGATTCTTGTTTTATAACAAGACGGAAGCTTGGTATGACGTTATAGGATTTTTCCGACACAATAAAGTCAAAAACGACCTGAAGTTAATTACACTATCTTCTCAAGCCATCTAGTATTAAAATAGTTGTCTCTTAAGCTACTGCCTTTCTTGAAATTGCAGATATCTGAATAGAGTGACAGCTTTATAAAACATTCACAATGCTTATCCAAAATAAATACTCAAAAATACTAAAAAATAAAAAAGCTTTGGAACTAAGAATTATCAAAGAACCAGTCGACAGCCGAAATAAGATTAAGATTTTGCTAAAAAGTCAATTTTTTCAGTAGCTTTGTTTATCTTACGTAAAATTTTCCTCTAGCTGCCATGACTTTTCTTGATTTTTTTAAGGATTGATATTCTAAAAATGGATTGGGAAAGATATTACTTGAAGATGTAAAAATCTAACCTTTTTGTCTTGTAAAGCAAATTTTCAAAAAATGCTGTCATACAGAAAAAACGTTCATGAATCCCTAAGAAAGGTTTTGAATTACTGGAGGAGCAATTGCTTTCTTACACTATAATTTAAAATTTTTGCTTTTATGCGAAGTTCCATAAAAGTTACTGAATTAGTTCTGCTCCAGAGATCAGTTCCTAGTCTTGGTCATAATGATTTTTTTTGCAGCCTGGAGAAACATTCTTATAATGTTTCTAAATATTGTTCATTTTTCAGCCTGATAATGTTTCGTATTCTTGGGAACCTCAAGTCTGCAATTCTTTAACTTTTTGCCCACGTAATATATCACTCAGTGTTCACACCTCACTGCTCAGTGATCACATTTATTCTGTTTTGAGCGACGAGAAGCCGTAGCAGTATATTTTGATGATTAGCTAAAGACTAAAAATTAGTGAATTTGAATAATGTTAAAAATTTTTAGAAGGTCTGGCTATGTGCAAACGAAAACCATAGCATTTTACTTAATGAGCAAGTTTTACTCACCATAAATAATGCCCCAATCAGCCACTGCTTTGACAAACAATGTTATACCGGAGCAAAACGCACCTAAAGAATGAAACACTTCTTGCGCATTGGTTGACTAATATGCCTAATTTGGAAGCTAAACTGAAAATTCCTCTCTATCTTAACCTGTCCATCAACATATGTTTTCTTTCGAATGGGCCTAGCCGGTTGACAATTCGCCTTAACAAATGGTGCTTACTGTCCCAAAGCTTTCGTCTAAAGAGTATGCAAGGCGACCGACCATGACAGGAAGCTCCGCCCACGTGAAATCAAATTAGAGCAGTGCCAAAATGAGAACCAAAGTCATCCCTCTTTCTCCCTGTTTTTGACTGTTCTTATCATTTTTTTGTTTGTTAGGGAATGGTGACTCGATACTCCATAAGACTTTTAAATTTTGCTAGTTGGATAACTTTAACGTCAGCCCAACCAAGACTTTTGCTGCCGCTTTCGAGGATATCCTTGGAAAGAAGATACCATTGGAAACAGCAAAAACAAACAAGCGGTAATATCAAACCAGTTCTAAGATTCATTATTTCTGACTTCTTCGTATTACTCAACTTGGTCATTTGGTACATGCACGGTGCCTTTCAAATTTACTAACTGTCACACTTTTCTTCTTTTTTTTGCAGATGGTTCGCCGAGTTTGCCTTTGGTTCTTTGCGTGGGGACTGGATTATTTGCAAGTATCGGTTTTTTTTTTTATCGCCGGCAACAGTTTGTAACGGATGCTGCCACAATTCCTGACAAGCAGCCTATTGATTCCTCAGACAGTAAGGCCTTTAAACTAAGCGTTGAAGTCAGAAACGACTTGCCCACATATCGACTAAAAGAAGTCCAGAAACATGACCATATAGCAGAAAGAATTTGGGTTATTTGTCAATGCGTATGTTAAACTTTGGCTTTTTCAACTTTTTTTATATCGGTCTGTCAACAAGCCTTTTTTCGATTACTGTTTTGTTTTGCTAAAATCGGCTACATTCAAAAGATTACAGGGAGTATATGATATTACGGATTTTGTTGAAGGCCATCCAGGTGGTAGCAAAATTCTTATGGCTGCTGGAGGTTCTATAGAGCCTTTCTGGAAAATTTACCAACAGCACTTAAATCCTGAAACGCTTGAATTACTTGAAGGATACAGAATTGGGAACTTAGATCCTCAGGACATTGCTGCCATTGACTTGTCGGTAAGCAAATTTTAAAAATTACCCTGAGCGGATTGATTTTTACTTCTGAGTCAGACTAAAATTTTCTATTTTATCAGTTCTCCAGTTTTTGAGACATTTCGACAAGTCAATATTTTTGAATTTAAAAATGTTTCCCGTGAGTTTCGACTCGTACCTTTTGCCCCTAGCTGATAAAGCTGCAGTTCAGGCTTGTCTCATTGGCACTTTCATTTAAATTTGCTGCATTGATGCTGCGCGTATCCTGTATACGTTTTAATCTTCACTCGCATTTTTGAAGGAAATAATTCATATTGCCGTCTAGACTAACGAAAATGATCAGTATCACGAAGATCCTAAACGGCACCCAGCTCTTCTGGTCAGATCGCAAAAGCCTTTCAATGCAGAAACACCACTTGAATTGCTTATTGACCATTTTCATACTCCAAATTCACTTTTCTTTGTTCGTAATCACTTGCCTGTCCCAAAGGCACGATTCAGCTTTGTTTTTTCTTTAATTTGTATCGGGCTCACTAAATTTTTTATGGTGTTCTGAGGGTGGCTCAGTGTTAATCTTTATCTTGTCAATACATACAAAGTTTCACTTTTTACTCACCAGTGTTCATTCGACTGTATTAAATAATTCCATTCAACGTAACTTAATACAGCTGAGTGGTGACGATCATCGTGTACAGATCAGTGGCGTGGGTTTAAAGTTCCCAGTTGTTTTAACCCTCCAAGAGTTGAAGACCAAGTATGAAATTGTGTCTGTGTCCGCAGCGTTGCAGTGTGCTGGTAATCGGCGTGCAGATATGTCGAAATTCAAAGCAGTAAGACAGAGATTTCAAAATTACTTTGATTATTTAACTTAACTTACTTATATGCTTTGAGATCTTCAACACTTTTCTTCATGACGGCCTTTCAAATTCTTTTTGACTTTTTGTCTTAGGATCTTTGATCTTCAGCTTTGTTACTTTAAGGTACAAGGCTTAGCATGGAAAGGAGCTGCAATTGGTAATGCTAAATGGACGGGCGTACGGTTGCGGGTAGTGCACTTTGGTTTTTCTCAAATTTAATTTAAATTTTTCTGTTTGGCAACTGTAAGGTTGTTTTCATGCAAAAGACTTTAGAGTTGCTTTGAGGGAGTGGTTTTTGGCGTTTCAGGATGTGCTTGTTAGTGCTGGTATTGATCCGAACGATAAGCGAATAAAACACGTTCACTTTGAAGGAGCGGACAGTGATGCGGAAGGTTATTTCTAAGCTTTGCATAATTTCTAAATATAATAATCCTTTCTCCCTATTTCTTTCGGCGTTTGAACTGTTCGCCATTTTTGCACTTTTTTTCAGCTACTGTTATCAGTTTTTTTATCAAAGTCATAGTCCTTTCCCCTTTCCACAGGCAACCACTTCGGATCCTCAATTTCGTTTGAGAAAGCAATGAAGAAAGAGGTTCTTTTGGCGTTTTTGATGAACGACGAGGAAATACCGCGCGACCATGGATACCCGCTTCGTCTGATTGCTCCAGGTTGGAGTTTGTAGAATTTTAGGCTTCTTATTAACCTTGATTGAACTCACAAGGTACGGACTTTTCAAAGTTTTGGATTCATTTTGCCTTTTGGTTTGGTTTATTTTGCATCATCTTTAATTCGATCAAACAATATTTGGTTGTCTTTTTTTATAATTTTGATAACTCATTCCTGTCACTAATGTTTTTAAGACTAAAAACTAGCTGAAAATGGTTCACAAAACTATGATACAATATAGAAGGACCTCAGGAAGGTGTATTTTTGTTTATGAATACGTTTTTAGGAATCGCTGGAGTGAGAAATGTCAAATGGTTAACGAAGATAGTGCTAAGTGACGAAGAAAGCAACTACTTTTGGCAAAAAAAAGATTACAGGTACTTTCATATTCTTGCCCCTTATTCTGTTTTTTTTAAATACTTGAAGCAGTATTCTAAGCGGTAAGAAAAAAAATTTTTTTTTAATTGATGAGGAGTCTAACATAATTTCCACCGGTTTCTTAATAACATAATATTATGAAATCTTCTGAAGACATCTAGCAGAAGTGTTAAACATTTACTGGGAAAAAACTAGAAGGAAGTTTGTGTTTAGTTTCTATGTTAAGAGTACTCCCGCCTACGATGGGAGATGGGGAGAAAATTGATTTTAACGCTGTTCCGGCCATTCAAGAATGCCCTGTGCAAAGCGCCTTTCTTGTTCCATCCGGCCCAGTAAAGATTAACAGAGGTTCCTTATTGGTAGCTGACGTAGTTGTTTTCACCATTTCATTTTATTTTAATTTTTCTAAATTTGTATTCTTCAAAAAAGATTCTGCTATTTTCATTTTCACAAATATTTACATATGGAGCAAAAAATTTTAATGATTCAGTTTTTGAGACTTTAGCTGAGGGAGATTTCGAAGTCGCTGGCTATGCATGGAGTGGTGGGGGCCGCGGCATTATTCGAGTAGAGGTTTCTGCTGACGGGGGGAATACATGGCAACGTGCAAAATTGCATCATGACTCCGATCAAGATTTGGTGATTGTTTTGAACAGTTTCTTAGCCTTTTCCACAGAAGAGACCAGTGTTCTAACAGTTTATGTGTTTTCCTTGTTTAGTTTGCAATACGCAGTGTTGCTCTTATTCCTCTGTTTAATCTGCCCGTAAAAATCAAATTGACTTTTTTCAACAGGACCATATGTGGTCTTGGACGTTCTTCACAACTACTATAAAGATTCCTGAAGGTGTCACTTATCTTGATCTGGTTTGCAAAGCAACAGACAGAGCTTACAACGTGCAGCCGGAAACTTCGAAAGGGATCTGGAATGTTAGAGGTTTATTAAATAATGCATGGCATCATATTAAAGTGGAAATTATTTAATTTTTTTTCTTTTTCTTTTACATACTACTGATAAGCAGCTAAAATTTTTGTATTTTTAAGAATAATTCGCGTCTGATGAATATAGAGAGAGTTTTATGTTTGGCTAGTTTTACAGTTATCAAGACTTTTATAGCTCAATTATTCTTAAACTTTTTCTGCCTAGACTTCCTTTATTTATTATTAAATTGGAGTGCTTGGATCTACAACAACTTAGCAACTTAGTTCTTTTGCTGCAATTTTACCAGTGGCGTAGGATGAGAATAAAGATTGAAAATTAAACTTCTTTTGATGACTTTAAAGAGTTAAAACGCTTAGTGTTTTTAGACTTAATGTTTTCTCATACTGTATTGGGCGAGAGTTTTTTTAGATCAAAAACTAGAAATTCCATATTTTTAAAAATTTGAGAGTTGAAGCAGTCCTTTTTTTTTAAATCAGGTCTCACAAATTTTAGAAGTATAAAAATCAGTGGTCAAAAATTATGGCAGTTTTTTATTAGAATTTGATAAAAAATCAAAATCTAGATGGTGCCACGTCACAAATTATTTATGCAATAATTTTTGCTGGATTGGAAATTTCAGGAGCGAGTTAAAAAGTTAAATATTTTGGGCAGGTAATAATAAGGAGACAATGAGCATTCTTTGTTATTTGTGTTATAAAGAGTATAAGCTTTAATTCCTTCTACTTTTTCGTCAAGCGTGAATTTCCTCTATAAGTCATTCCGTTTCAGAGACCTGCTCAAATAAATTT